TGGAGAAGCGCATATTAACATCACAAAACACAGGGCTGACCCTGGATCACAGTGGTTAAGGGAGCCAGATCTCATATGTCTTACTGTGCTTGAGTCCTTGCCTGAGCAGGTTGAAAAACAAGCCAGACACTTTCCTGTTTGTACCCAAAATCCTGACATGAAGGAGGAATGGAGAAAACTCGATCGTGGCGTGACCACACCCCATTGCAATGGTCTCTCTCTCTCTCTGTCTCACAGGTGTGCACCCTCTGGCAAAAGCAAAAACAAAACAAAACAAAAAAACAAACCACCATGCAGTATTGTCTCATACTTATTGGAATGGGTATATGTTCAAGAAGGCATGTAACTGAGGATGAAAGTGTGCAGAAATCAGAATTCTCACACAAGTCTGATAGGATTATAAACAATCACAGCCACCTTGGAAAACTCTTTGGCAATTTTCCCTAAAAGGGTAATAATATACAGCTACCAAATAATGCAGCAATTCCACTGCTAATATATACCCACCAGAAAGGAAAACACATGCTCACACAAAAACTTGTATACTAATTGTCATAGAAACGATCTTTATAATTTCCCCAAGTGGGAAGAACCTAAATGTCTATCACTAGATGACTAGGTACCAGAAATGTGGTGTATTCATACGGTGGCACATTATTCAGCCATGAACATCTGATGAGGTTTATTTGTCAGTAGAAGCAGCCATTCTAAACCTGTCTAAAGTTGACTCTGCTCTGCCTGAGGAACATATAACATCCCCTGAGGTGTTACTTTGCAGGACACGGCTCATTCTCCTCAGGTCACACCCAGCAATCCCTTTTTGCTTTCAGGCTTTTAACTAGAATCAAGGTCCAGCAGATCCTGAAAGGTGTGGTACACAATGTGACCCAAGGAAGGGGGCTGCCCTCCAAAGAGCTACATGTTTTTCCACATTTATAAAGTTAGAAATTGGAGAATATATGTGGATATAAATATTAAGGATGTGAGATAAAGGTGGAAAAGTATAAAGTGAGAATATTCCACAAATATTCAAACGAATTCACTAAGCAAAGATTCTAGATTTAATGCACAGCTGGAAAGTTAGAAAAGGCTCTGTTTTCCTGGTTGCTTGGACCAAAAGGTGGCGGACCCTAATGGAGAGGAAATGCCGACCGTCTTCCTATACAGTAGCAGAAGACATCCTAGGGTATAAGAAGCATGGAGTATTAGAGGGTTTTACCAATTAAAACACTATCCACCCTGGGAGAATCCAGAGGACACACCTTTCACCATCGAAGTGAGAAATACACTTGTGAGGGGAACCTATTATCCTTGAAAGGCTCTGTGGTCACCCTTCTTTCCAGTCCAAAAAGCACAGTTGAGGGACTGGCCCCATGCCCAGGTGCAGTGGTTAAACGCTGTGCACTGGGAGCAGAGTAGGACCCCTAGAGCTGACGGCAGGTGGATTCCCAGCCCCGGAGCCTGAACAACACGCTGGGGACATGAGTGTGCATGCTCCAAATCCCAAAGGAGAAATCAGGGAAAAGGATTGCAATGTGGTAACTCCTAATGAGGGATGTTCTGTCTTTGTATGTCACACACACACATGTGCCCTCAGATAATAAACAATAAAAACGATAATAATATAAAAAATATAGCACAGTAGGAACTGCTGCCACTGCATTGGGAAACCTAAACAAAGTGGGCATGATTGGACAGAGGAATGGCAGAGACCAGGTGGCCATGCTCAGTCACCAAATGCAAGGTGTGTGTGCCTATGGTAATGGCAGAGTTAAAGCAGCAACCTGAACAGTCTGGTTCAGAGGCTTACATTGGCTAGTTGATCATGCTGCTTCCAGAGATACAACGAATGGGGAAACTACTGAACTTTTCCCCATCCATTGTATCTCTGGAAAGCACGGTCCCTGCAAACTAATTCATGATCGAGGGCTGGCAAGCTGCGATGCTTCCATGGGAGTTCAGGAAATATACACTGCACTTTT